CGTAAGAATCAACTGAGCGAGGGCGAAGGACATATAAAAAAGCAGATCGCGAATGTATGTCATCGTATAGGCCAGTAGCACTTATACCTATATTTTCTAAAATAATTGAAAAGGTAATTTATAAAGGCAGCAGCGTCCTTCTTAATACATCTCTAAAGCCTGATTGCGATTGCCAATCCGCTTGTCAAGCATGGCAACTACTGGCAAGACCTCTCAGGGGGGAGGCTTATGTTCGACAGTGGACAATTAAAGGCTGATATGACGATGATGATGATTTATAAAATTAAGTGATTATATAATTATTACTTCAAGAGTTTGTTATATTATTACCATATTATAGTTTATTTGTTAATTAGCACGCTGTGTTTCCTTTAAAATGATTGTACACTAAGTATAAATAGACAGTAATCTTAATATTAAATCTTATCACTGTAACAATTGCTGGGAGACCAAATAAATATAAAATAAAATAAAATAATAAAATTAATTCATATTTTTGTAATATTTCATGGTTAATATCTATATTGTACATAAATGCAGTAAAATCGAATGTTATTCACGTTCCTTTAATAGGTTCTCCTACTAGCAAAAGTAAAGAAATATGTGTCGGACAAATACTAAAATGCAGAGATGAAACGTATACCAGATTTTAAATTAGACCTTCAAGAACAAAATTGAAAACTGTATCCTATTACGTGCTGTAGTTTGTGCATAATGTCGAAACAAATTTACAGACGAACTCTGCGTAATTAACAAGTAAATGACACTATGTAATACTACAGTGTCATTAATTTACTAATTACGCTGTTTGTTAATTTTTTAGTAATTTATAGATTTAATGACTTATTATAGTAATTTTTAGTACTAATTACTGGTTACTAATTTTTAAATTTAATGACTTAAATAGTAATTATCCTATCGCCCATTCGTAATGCAAGTTCATTTGAAAAGAACCCTTTTGTTTTTTATACAACTTAGAATGGCAAACAAGCTGACGGCCCACCTGGTGGAAAGTGGTAACCGTCGTCTATAGACATGACACAAATATATATATATATATATATATATATATATATATATATATATATATATATATATATATATATATATATATATATATATCTGTGCCTCTAGTGAGAAAGGGTTCAATTCAAAATGGTCACTTTTCAGGAGAGCCAAAAAACTATTTTAAATAAAAAAAAAAAATTCTGCTGCTTTTATTATTTGCTAATTGAACAAGTCAATGATTGCATTTATAGTAATTTTTTCTCCTCTTTCTTATGAAATTGTCGGTTTTTGTGTAAAACCTATAGTTTTAAAAATAATTCTATTATACCTAATCACACTTAACAAAAATATTAAAATTATCATGTGAAAATAGTTTTAAGTTGAATTAAAACTATTTTATTGAAGTATTGAAGAAAAACAATGTTGTGTATTTTACGCTATAAAAAATAATCGCTATTTAATGGTGTAAAAGGGTTCAAATCGAACTGATTCATTTTACAAAAATATTTTTTGTAAAATATTGTAGTTTTATTTCTAATTATGACTTTTTTACCACAAATATTTTGTTAATTGTAGCCTTTTACATGTTTACTATCTCTATTGTTTTTAAAGATATCGTTACGATTCTTATACCATTCGAAAGAGAAAAATTTGCTTATTTAAAGTAGCCTAAAAAAGAGAAAGGCTATAACTTGAGTTATACCCTTTCTCACTAGAGGCACATATATATCCGTTATTATTTTTTAATTATCATTGTGCAACGGCAGAAAAGACTACTTTCACCGATTGCACGTTCATGGATCTATTATTTAATCTATTAATTGATCGATAAATAAACAAATAGTAACAGGAAAAGAATTACTAGGATTATATCTATGCTGGGGGATTCCCCAGAGTTAAGGTCAGGACCTTTAATTATGATTATACAAGGAAATCGTACTTTGTGCATTTCCGTTTTAGAAATTGTAATGATTTATTTATAAACACTAGAAGCAAACTTACGATTCTGTTTACGCGCCATTCAATATTTTATTCCCGTTCTCATACGAATTTCTAAAAAATGTGATTTAATACAGTCTTCTACTGGTATAAATGATATTTTAGTAATAAGTCTTACCCGAGGGAGACTTTGTACAAAAGTCGATTGCTTGGGTACCTCTATCCCATTCGTGTTTCAACCGTAAAGCAGTTGTGTTTGCATGGCTGTGTTTCGGTTTGAAGGGTGGGATATGGCGTGAATTTACTGGGTACAGAAGAATAACACCTGAGTCCTCAGGAATGGCAACGCATGGGGGGGTATCATGGGCGAAACAGTATACTCTGTTATATTCATGGTACTGCTCATGTCTATAGGCGACGGTTACCACTTTCCATCAGGTGGGCCGTCAGCTTGTTTGTCATTCTAAGTTGTATAAAGAAATAATAATAAACAGGCAACGTGACGGGTTATTAAAAAGGAACCGTAAGGATTTTGGTATTAATTACAGTTGTAGTTTGATATTATTATGAGAAATAAAGGAAGCTAATGAGTTACAGATCAAATGGTCAGAATAAGCTGACAGGCATAAAATGGATGTAGGAAAAGTATTTTTTTTCTAAGGAAATAAAACGAGCAAGAAAAGACTATATGTGTTAGTTCGCCCATATCTTTTCTCTTTCTTTGTACGTATATTCTTGACAGCAATTTCTGTACTGTCAGTAAGTCGATTCTGTTATTTATCCCTGAATACGTAACAAATATAATGATTGTTTAGAGTTTTCCCTTTACCTGCGAGAAGAGGCCTTGCTCCTTAAATTTCATAATCATTCGAAGGTCGACGGAAAGTGCCTTGTATGTCAGTACGCTAATTAGAAGAGTCACATGCACGGACATGTACAAGTTTTCCACAAAACAATGAGACGACCTTGATGATTTAGCGGTTTAACATGCTGCCTCGTCGTCCGATGTTTGCGGGTTCGATTCCGCACTTTCCAAATACAAATTTACGTTGATATATGAGGGCGCCTTACACTGACTTTATGTGTGGAGTGTTAAAGCGTTTCTTTTTGGAACGATCGTATTTGAGTCACGGAAGGGGGGTGAGGTAAGTTGGGGAGAGGGGCAAGGATAGCAATACCGTAGGGATTAGTACTAGATATTACTTCAACATCATCAGCCTCCATGACCATAAGCCTCCCCCATAGACTGCCATAAGGAACGGTCCAGAGCCATCTGCATCCACTAACTCCCTGCAATATACTTGAGGTCGTCACTCCATCTAATGGTGGGGGGTCATCCTACATTGCGTTTGCCCGTACGGGATCGCCACCAGATTTGTTTTTATACAACTTAGAATGGCAAACAAGCTGACGGCCCACCTGAGTGATAACCGTCGCCTATAGACATGAGCAGTACCATGGACGTAACATAACTGTTACGCCCACGATACCCCCCATGCGTTGCCATTCCTGATGACTCTGATGTTATTCCTCTGTACTCTGTAAATTCAAGCCATATACCACCCTTTAAATCGAAACACAGCCATGCAAACAAAACTGCTTCACGGTAGAAACATGAATGGAATAGAGGTACCCAAGCAATCGACTTTTGTACAAAGTCTCCCTTTGGTATGGGAGACTTTGTACAAACCTTATTTTGTCCTCATTGTAGTATTTCGATTTGTGCAGTTTACCAGTTTTAATAGAATTTATAGTGAAACTACTTGCTACTCAATCTTATGATCAGGTTTCCTTAATAGTCATGGGTCTGAGGATTATTATATTAGTAATAGCCGACGATTACCAATTTCCGGTTTGTTTTTCGTTAAAAATTTGTATAATGTAAAGAATGAAATTAATAGGATACTTTGATAATTATTTTTTTTTTTTATATACTACTTAGAATGGCAAACAAGCTGACGGCCCACCTGATGGAAAGTGGTAACCGTCGCCTATAGACGTGAGCAGTAGCATGGACATAACAGAGTATACTGTTTCGCCCATGATAACCCCCATGCGTTGCCATTCCTTAGGACTCGGGTGTTATTCCTCTGTACCCAGTAAATTCACGCCATATCCCACTCTTCAAACCGAAACACAGCTTTTGTTATACACACTAGCTTTTGTTATAATTAGTTAATTAACTCAATTTGTTAATGACCAATAATTATGTTTAATAGGCGTTTATTTAATGTTGAACATTTCGGTAAATGCAACAATTATAAAAAGCGTTAATTGCGCAAATCGTAATTAAATAAATCATTTATAATATTTATTTTATTATAATATTACAGTCATTGTTAGTAACTGAAAAGAAATAACCGTTCGTCTTGCTATTTGGTTACATACCTACATAATTTAAAAGAATTTTTAAGTAACATTAAAAAACATTTAAAACTTTCCTCTATTTGGCTGTTTTTTTTTATAAAGCAGTCAAATTTGGACGCCAGTTCGGATTTACCTTACTACTGTTACATGTATGTCAAAAAAAGGAATGCGATGTTATAAAGTTTTATTTTTGTATGTGTATTCCCTATTCCATCATACTTTTTGTATGCCTAAACAGATTTCGGAGTAGAGCATATGATTTGAAGCTTTTTATCATCCCGAGTAACACTGGTTATAATTAATATTATCAGAAAAATTTAAAGATAGTATATGTAAATAATAATAATAGTTAAATCTATGTATAGAGGTCTTTGACACTCTTTTCTCTCTGTCTACCCCATAAGGTACTTGGAGTGAAGAGAGATAGAAAAACGTTCTTTACCATAATAAACTTGTTATAATAAATACCTGACAGGTTTTTTTTATACAACTTAGAATGGCAAACAAGCTGACGGCCCACCTGATGGAAGGTGGTAACCGTCGCCTATAGACATGAGCAGTACCATGGACATAACAGAGTATACTGTTTCGCCCATGTAAAAGGGCAATCCTGTTTTTTGTTTTCTAATATTCTTGTATAATTAAACAGTTCATTGTTAGGAACAGGATACATAAATGAAATAAAGTTTAAAAAATCAATTGAAATTTTATTGAGCTTATAAAATGATAAGTACAAAATTTTAAATCAAACCACGTGATTCGATCACTTAAAGCTTTTTAAGCTATTAAAAAGAAAATAAATTAATTTAAAAATAAATTATGATAATCTATGAGATTCTTTGGCACTATCGTAGACTAGGCCCCATAGATGTAGAAACTAAATTTAATCGCACTCAAAACGCGATAAACATAACTCCAATGATAGGAACACTGTCGCCTTCCGTTTTACTATAATATATACGTCAAACAATCAATATTCGATAGCTCGCACTTGGTAAAGAACCTACGTATACGGAAGAAACGACAATTCTATCAAAGATAGTGTGTAATACTTATTAATAACATACAAAAAAAAAAAAAATTCATCAACCGTGACCAAATTGGAAAGGGCCATTACAAACTAAGTAGACAAGAGAGCTAACTCATAAATCGTCACGTTCACACGTAATATTTGTCTATATAAAACACATTAGACTACTTACTAATTAACTTATTATTGAAAAATTAACTATCTATATCACAATTTAGGAATTGCGTAAAAGTTTTACGCTCGTATACTATATGGTATTATGTACAATACTGAACAGTGATGTCGCAGAACACAACAATAAATTAAAATGTGAATTAACATTAATTAGAACTAATAAAGACAGCAAAAACTGAGAATATAAAATTATACTTGATTATTGAGAATTAAGTACAGTGCTCCTAACAATAAGACTTATCCAAGGACTGCGTCTGTGAAGCAGAGGTTGGTGTTTCGGAACTGTATTACCTCGATCCAAACACCACATATTAATGGTCCCAAACTCTTGTGGCGAACTCGCCGTTACAAGGCATAACTACTATATATACACTTACAAAATTCGAAAGAAACCTTGTCTTAAGTTTACAACATACAAATAAAAAAAGTATAAATCAAAAATAGCATATCATTATATCATCAATAAAACAAAATTACAGTCGATAGGAAAATCAAGAAGTCATGGAACAAAGTAGCGAGCTAATAACTCACAGCACATTTGGCCCCATATCACCCTAGCAACAAAATAAATAACTTACATAATAATACTGCTTAAATTTCATTAATACATTAACTATATAAGACACTTAAGTCAGTCGGATGCGTGGACGTGCATCAGTCCATTTTCTAATACCACATTAGTCCATTTTTAGTCTATAAGTTTTACAACGTTATCTCACAGTCACTTCATGAGCTTATAATATTTCCGTTCTTTTCTCCACATATTGTCGTGGCATCTAAGCCACGTAATTCTTCTGAACGCATCTTCCACGTTCGTGCTTGTGAGATGTTCACAAACCTATTTCATATCACTGTACCCTTCTTCTTCTCTCTTCGCAGGTGCATTTAGATCGATTCCACCGCATATTCAAGTTCCGCTATAACAAAAGGAGATAATGTTGTATTTTATGATCGATGCAACTAATAAAATAGATAAAAATAAATATCTTTTAATAAATATAATCTAATTTAAAATAGGATTATAGAATTTGGAAAAAAATAGTATTTGATTTAAAAAAATGTTAACATTGTAATTGGCTGAGATATCGTGTAACATACATAAAAAATACAGTTGAATTGAAAATCTATAGCGCAGTTCTTATCTAGTTAACGCTTTCCCATCAGATAGAACATCAGTTTGTTTACCAATTCAAGCCATATAAAGAACCTACGTCTTTTTTAAAATCATTTAATTTTTTAATCTTTAAATACATTTTTTTTTTCTAAATTAAAAATAAACGATTGCTAGCAACATGCCACATATGTAGATGCATAAGAAATGTTACGCAATTGCTACCTAAATGGGCAGTTACGTGAAATATTAAAAAGCTTCAATTATAAAATCTTGCACAAGCTACAGACTAGGTTTGTAAAGACAATGGATGTCTACGGCATCACATCACAACACTGGACACATCGCATTGGGCGTCAGTCAAGATATGTCAACAATGCATTGCACTTTAACCGGTTTATGGTTAATTATGCATACAACAATTATACACATAATTACATTATGTTATTACTATTTATAAGGTGAAATGAAAAGGAGATATGAATTCGAAATAAAGCGACAGATACTATTCGCAGAACTGAACAACTTTCCACAAAGATTTTTTATTCGAAATATTAAAATAATGAAAATAAGTAAGGAACTAGAAAAATCTAGTTCCTTACAAACAGAATTATTATGAAAGATTCGTATATTGTATTTTTATATCTTAAATCTTCAAAGGAAAAGGTTTCAGGTTCATTAACTATCGCTGAGTTCCGAATTATCATATCCACCTTTTTCGTTTCGCCTTTTTTGTCATAGTAAAATAAAAAAGTTTCTAATTAAATAAAAAAAAAAAACAATACATAAGCAAATGTTACAACAGCGGAAGAAAAGATAGTGCTGACGCTTGTTTTTGGATGCATTACGAAAGGCATGCGTGTGCGCCGTTAGTGTTTACAGACATCCATTATCCTACCAACCTTTCGGAGACAGTTCCTCCGCTCCTCTGTGTTCGGACATTGACACGTGCACTTACGAGGATTGTATATCCTCGAGTCCCCACATTCTTCCGGCGTGAGGTTGCAGCAGCCGCAACTTCTGTGCTCTTCTATTTGGTACGTCGAGCACGTCTCCTTCTTTGTCTTTACGTTGTATATTCGTATCTGTTGACAAGGAAATAAAGATTAGTTTTGTATGTACCGAAATTTGTACTATTTCAAACAAAACACCGATTACTCGACATAATTACGCAACTAGCTTAGTCATCGTAATAGCTCCGCATATCAGAGATGCAACTTATGTCATTATTATCGTTAATGATCGACGCTTGCCCAACAGCAGTGTACTGTCAAACACCAGAACTGTGCCAAGGATGAGTTTGAATTAGCAGACGATTGATAAACAGATAACGTTTGTCCTTTTAGCCGAGTTGATTAGTTCAACAAATATGACATACACGCATGTACAGTAGAAGATAAAGGTACTCACTGATATGGTCTTCATAACCGTGTCGGTTGAGACGCACGAGGAGCCCTCAGCTTCATAGTCGCAGATGCCGACGCACCTCTTGACCCAAACTGCGCTGGGGATCACCTGGGGAAATACGTTCACGTCAGCATGGTCAAATGTAATAGTCTTAGCAAATTTTCTCACGCAGCTTTAATGACTGCTACGATTGCGGATGCGGGTTTTAAAGTCCAAAGATTCTTTAGTTTACATTGAGACTGCTGTACTGTTAGAGATTGTATGACGAAATTTAAATCGTCACAATGTATTATCTGATTATGTCAATAATGACTGATACGGTGCTTGAGCTCTCATTACTTATGTAAAGTTGAATGTTTAAAATTTTTTAATGTTGTGAAATACTTAAGAAGATGTCATTGTTCAAATAATTAAATTGACACATGTGTATGATAATCACGACCTATGGAAATGTAATGAGGTCATGAGATAATTAAGACTATCTAATTATGTATTTAATTAAATGATTTTTATTGTTTTACAAATGATGTTTCGACAAATATAAATTCTCACCTGTTCATGTGCTGATGGAGGTTTTAAATAAACGAAGACTTCTTTTGGGTCCCTGCACTTTGACTTTTCTATGATCTCATTCCTTATCCTCTCATTTTCACTCGTGCATGCCACTACAGACAAAACAAGATTAGATTAATTTAAAGTTTGCAACATCCACGTGGGGGTGTTATTAATTAACTTGGAATGCGTACGTATTAATTAGTAATCAGTAAATTAAATCTTTTATTGCATCATTATCAGTATACGAATCGTGTTGAAATATTAATGAAACCTGGGTCAAAATCCAATTGTTATTACAATTACCTTTCTCTATTAAATCCTTTGGGAACTTGGGGTGGTGTTTGTGCACAGCCTCGGCAAACACAAACAAAACAACAACCAAAAATATTTTTGCCATTTTAACTGTTTTCACAAATTTCTCTTTCACTAAATATATCACTGTGTATGTATGTTTATACGATGATAGCACTAATGTTATCGTATGTCACTTGTCACAGTCACTTGTACGTGTTGCTCCTTTGGCGGTCTATTGGATTGTGATGGTAACGGCGATGGCCCTCTATTTTAAAAGCCTGCTGAGTCAACGTGCGGCGGCGGCGGCGGCGGCGGCGGCGCGGGCCGTCTCGCGGTGGGCTTGGCCACTAACGTCATCTTCTCCGCCCAATGCCGACGTCGCAATGTTTGCGCAGCTGATAACGACGTCACGCTGCGTGACCGTACAGAACTTTTCGTAGAACGTTTTCGGGATCTGTATGCAGCGTGACACAAACGGATCTACAGTGAGTTTCGCAATCGCGGTAAAGGTCATTGCATTGGAGTGGATCCTTGTCTGGCGTTCTGCGGTTTGCATTGAAAAGTTCGTTCAGATCGGAACTCCAACAGCACGTGGTGTTACGTCATTAAAATTTAGAATAACGCTTGAACATTATTGAACGGGATGCATTTTTAGCTTATTTCATTGCATATCAGAGCGATTATTGTTCTTAATCTTACCTAGGATGATTCGTGCAAAAATCATTACCGGATAATCTGATTTTGATATCCAATTAATGCAATCATGTAATAAAAGTGTGATCCTGTTATCGCTCTGTTTGATTACATATCTAAGTATAGTATTTTTTTAGGAAACGGTGGAAAATCCTAAATTTGTAAATGACTTTAAAATGTCGGAATGCGTGATCAAATACTGATAATTATTTTGATATATTTTATAATATTTTGATAAAATTCATAATATTATTTAGTTTTCTAGTAATAATGTGATGAAGCAGATATGACACAGCAGTTGCACCGTAGGATCGCAGCGCTTACGTTTATCTTTCTTATTTTATGCATATTTTTGTGATCACTGGTGATGGTTTGCTTTACAGGATATCGTTATGCGTCCCTAAAGTAAAAATTCGAAAATTAGAGGATAAATATTTCTTCAAAGTTCCTCCTCATAGAACCATTTTGGGATTTCTTTTAATGGGTCATAATGGTATGGTAATCCTGCCTACGCTATCGGGGCACCAGTGAGGGATGACTGATGAGGATGAGGAGCAGGTCAATTAGCTAGAATTAGCCACGACAATTCCCAGGGGGAACCACGTGGAGGTCGACCTGAAAGGGTATATTGCTAGAAATGGAGCTATTTATCCCGATTACTAACAATGCCTTTCCTCCACCCATTTTAGGACTACATTCGTCTGTAACAAGATTGATAATCACTTATAATCATCGTCATCATATCAGCTGCTGAACAGAAGCCTCCCTTTCGGGAGGTTTTTCTAGTAGTTGCCGCGTTTGGCAAGCGGATGGCAACCACAGTTAGGCTTTAGACATGTTTTAAGAGGGACGCTGCTGCCCATCCCTCGCCCTCCCTTAGTCGCATCTTACGACACTGACGGAAAAGGAACGAGGTGGCCTATTCTATGCCGGGACCACACTGCAGTTGACATTTGAAAAATAGATTATTGATCAACCATAATCATTTAAGGCTTAAATATTATCTAAAATTATTTTTGTGCATTACATGTTTTTGTATTTTATGCACGAAAATCATTAATTCACTCTGGCGCCACCTGCCATTTCTATCTGTTCTCCTTTAACTAAAGGTTGTCTGTAAGAGATTGCCCTAGCGATAAGACCGCCTTTTGTACCTTTATATGTATATTTCAATCTGTATTTATGTTACTGTATTTCATTTGAATTATTCACTTGTCATTTTATATATTCATTTATGGTGCAATAAAGAGTTAAATAAATAAATAAATAAAATTTAAGTCAGTCCTAAACTTTTATATGTATTTTTTTATAAACCTTTTTTTGTGTCAATGTATTATTTCAATATTGTGCATGTCTAGAATTGATGCAAATACTATATTTAGTTTTTTTTAATGTATGTATGTAGGTTATGTATGTATTTGTATTGTTGATGTGCCTAAACAAATAAATATATAAATCAATATTTTTTTATTGTCATGTCTCGTTTTACCTGAATATACAATTCGCGTTGTGGTTTTTTTATTAAATAATAAGTAGTCTATGTACCATGGTCCACATGATGGTAAATGCCAGAGGCAACTTCGCGCTGTACCGACCTACGTGACTTAAAAGATCTTGAGTCACAGTACCCAATAATTTTACATTAGGTCACACTTCAAACTAAACGCTGTATGCAAGTAAACTGTTTGAGGGAAATGTAGTTGAGACACATTTATTTATGCTGACAATTTGGTTTTCATCATCACCAGCTTTTAATTTTTTTGGTTAATGGATGATAATGGAATGGTAACCCCGCCTACGCTATCGGTATGCACTGGCGGGGCACCAATAAGGGACGGCAAGAGAGAATGAAAGAGCAGGTCAGTTAGTCCATCGTGATAAATACACCTGGAATTCAGCACGTTTCAGGGGGGGGGGCGGTACGTGGACCTGTCAGGGTATATTGCTAGCAATGAGACTAGTAGTTCGCATTAGTACCTATCCCTCCCCCACCAGCCGTTACCCTGGTTTTATTGTTTCTTTATTCCATAAATGTCAATACCAATGATAAGGATATTGGCCTAATATCAGCATGTGGGGGGAGGGGATAAGGATTATTAGTAATGGGTACGTTATTCCCCATCGCCAGTTTCAGCCGTTAACTGTCCACTGTTGAACATAAGCCTTCTCCATAAGGAGAGTTTTGCCAGTAGTTGCCATGCTTGGCAGGCGTGTTGGCAACCGCAGTTAGGCTTTAGAGATGTTTTAAGAGGGACTCCGATGCCTATTTCTCGCCCTCTTAAGTCGCCTCTCACGACACCTACGGGACAGGAAGGGGTGGCCCTTTCTATGCCAGGGCGCACGTGGCAAAGCCTAAGTTAGCTTTCTATTCATGAAAAAATATCATCATGATGTTTAGGAAGTATGATATAAGTGTTTATACCGAGTTTCCTTGCTTTATACCAATTTATTGCCCCTTCATATTTAGTTCTCGTCATACCATGCTTGTCATCAAAATACGTACTGGACTACTTCGCTATTACATAAAGGTTCCTTTTTAAAAGGCCGGCAGCACATCTGTAATATCTCTGGTGTTGCGGGTGATCATGGGCGGCGGTAGTCACTTACCATCAGGCGAGCCGCATGCTGTATTATAAATAAAAGTAAAAGGTTTTCTTTCAGTCAGTTATGGAACAGTAAAAGTTATCTTTTTATGAAAGTTTCTAGAAAATAAGGCGTATCAAGTAATTAGTTGGCACGAAAGCCTACATAGCTTTACATCCAATTAATTCAACGATTCACGGTAAACATGCATAAATTATTGAAATGGCTCCATGGGAAATTCGTGGAAAATCGTCATGGGTGAACTCATGCGTGACGTCATCACACCATAGGCACTCCACGAATACTGAAAACTACCCTCGCTTCAATGAGGTTAATAGTTGTAATTTTTACGGATGGTACAATTTATAAGTGACTAGCGTTTATTAACATTGCGGTGAATTTAATTATTTAATTTATTTTAATTTATAAATGAGACAATTAGATCCTAGATATTAATTATTCATTTATTTTTTTATGTATACTTTAAATCTCATACATACATATACATACTTAGCAGAGAAGATACACCCATATAGTTACATACTTTAATAACATAATATTGAGAGTCGAGCAGAGTTAAGCAGCAATATTATGCAATCACAAGGAATTACATGTTTTTCGTAGATTTAAATAATAATTCTTAGCATGTTTTTTAAAAGTGTAAATAATTTTCAAATTTCGGATCGGAGGCGGGAGGTCATTCCAGATCTTGGAAGCTGCATATTTGAAACCTCTTTGAAAACTTGCAGTTCTATGTCGTGGTACCTTTAAACGTGTAGAAGCTGCTCTTGAATTATATATACTATGCTCTTGCGCCCACGATAATTTAATACTAATGTAAATATTTGTAGGATTGGATGGATGGAGGTTTGTTACTCTTTTACTCAAAATTTACTAAACGGAATTGAATGAAATTAGGTACACGGATAGGTTATATCTTAACTTTACGTATAAGATACGTTTATGTACTGATTCATGCAGGCGCAGCCACGGGATACAGCTAGTGGTACATGATAATAATAATTGCCTGATAAAGAACACATTCCGGTGTTAATTTTGCCATATGTATACATACATTTATATTATGCATTCTAGTTTAAATAAATAAATACATAACAGATTATATATGCCGATTTAGGCAATATCAGTCATAATATTTCTTCTGTATCCACAGAATTCATTTTATTCTATCCCGCAGTGAAACTTTGAGCATTACTAAAGAGCAATGTAAAGCTAACTAAGCAATATATAGCCTCCTCATATGCTGCAAGTCATAAATACAATACCATATTTTAGCTCCATAAGTCATCACTGGTAAGCTGAATTAGCCGCGGTTGCTCAGTAACCGTAATTTTACAAAAAAAAATATACAAATATATATATATATATATTAATCAACTCTTAAAGAGGAACAATAAATAGTTTAAAATCATTAATTTATTTAACGACTAATAAACCGACAGTAATGTATGTTAACAAAAAAGTATATATAAATATATACAATTTGTTATCACTATAGTAATCTGTTCCAAGCAACCTTTGGATACAAACTAAAATAGATAAAAAAGTAAATATTATTTTCTACATTTTATTTCGCATTACTATTATATATAATTACTAGCTGACCCCGTAAACGTTGTTTTACCACTTATTGAGAAATATAAAAATCGCTATTAAAAAAACAGGGGTAGATCGTAAAAGGGTAAAAATTTGAAACTGTATGTATTTTTCGATGCTTAATCGTAATAAAATAAAAATAAAAAAAAAATGTCAAAAGAATTAAAAAAATATATTTAGGAGTGGGTCACCCTTATCATTGAGGGGGGTATGAAAAGTAGATGTTGGCCGAATCTCAGACCTACCCAATACGCACATAAAATTACATGAAAATCGATAAAGCCGTTTCGGAGGAGTTTGGTAACAAACACCGTGACACGAGAATTTTATATATAATTATATACTAAGTCTTGAAGAAGATAAAAT